GTTGAGGATTTTTCGAGAACATGAAAAAACTTAGGGGTGGGGACTTGTTAAGTGGTTTTTGAATATTAAAAATTAACTTAATATAAGGAATTTCCTGCCTTGATTTCTCTCTGGGACACTGGTGCCTGGGTCCAGGAGCATATCAAAAGCCTGCCTGCCCAGCCCCCAAGGTTGGCCGAGGCATTGTCTACTTGCTAAAGAATCTTGCCTCTTGAACTTCCTGGGTGTTAAAATGCAATCTCATCTCCAAGATGGAATTCTCTCTGTCCTTTACCATGCTATCTACAGCTGGGTCTGCATGCTAAGCTAGTTGCTCAGTTTGGAAAATTACTCTGTCAGGTCTGAAGGAGGAAAGAGAGCACACAAGCCTGGGCCTTTCAGCATGCTAAAGTGAATCCTCCACATGGTTATAAATGATTAGCATAACAAAACATATGCTACTCTTCTTTATCTGGGGAACACCAACTGATTTCACTGAAGAATAATTCCAGAGCTCCATGTTTAACATAGAGTTTCAGCAGGGGGGTTTCTTTGCATGTAGCTACACTGCTCCGACTGCAAATATCTCACCCTGCCCCGTCTAGAGGCCCTCACTCTACTCTGTCAAAGCCCACGGTCCCTGTCTCATTCTCCCTTGTACAGGTAGGGACCCTAGCTGCTGCTAGGGAAAGGGGCGGTGACTGCTCCGGATGCTCCATGCTGAGAGGGGGCACAGTAAGGGGTGCATCCAGGTCTCCATCAGTGGTCAGTTGAGAGGGCCCCAGAAGATTGGTGCCTCCACTGCTGGTTTCATTTCCACTACTATTTGCAGTTTTGTGACTTCTAGGCAAGACAGAACAGATTATGCCATTAAGTTAAGTAGCAATATCTGGAGTTGTACCCCCCACTTTGGAAGGAGAAACCTTATGAGACCAAGAATGCATGGTTGAATATGAGAACTAGAAACAGCAAAACTCTAATTGTAATGATAGGAAAAAAACAAAACATCTGGAAAATCATAGCCAGATACTTTGAAGAAGCCTGAATTCTGGATCTAGTCCATGTCCCAATGACCAGTACTAGGACTCAGCATGGACAAGGCTGCACCATTGAAACAATACCCCTCTCTAAAATCACCCTCATTCTCACTAGAAAAAAACAAATTAAGAAAATAATCAACACTTGGCTCTATTATTTGTGTAAGTACAGCAAGAAGAGCAATTGATTACACAGGCTCTTTTAAATGTGCTTTGCTGGAACTTTTTGTAAGGAATTTCAGATCAAACTTTTAAAGGCCACTTGAAGCCAGACGGCCAAGCAAGACTTGCCATCAGGTTTTGCCTGCAGTACCTGTAGATTTTGGTGAATTCCTCTCTTTCGAGGTCCCCAAGACATCTTGAGGTTCCTGCACCTGCCAGGAAGTGACCTTCCTTACTCACCTGTAAGGCTGCTGGGAACTCCGTAAGCAAGTTACTAGGTCAGTTCCTCCAAGGGGCTTTGTTGGCTTTATAAAGTCAATCTTAGTTCCTTAAAGCTGTTCATATCTGAGTTTATGCACGTGTCTCTCAGGTATGACATTGCAGTTAAAGCCTTGGTAATATAACCTGTATTGTTAATTGGTCTTCTTACAAGGAAAGCAGGTTCTTATTGAACTTATGCAAATAAACATACTGCCATGAAATATAAAAATACTGAAAGCTTTAAAATTCTTGAGGGGTCAGGTAGAGAGAAAGATAAATGTTTCAATTCTGCTTATAAAGGTATTGTCATTTACAAAACTGTTGTCAGTCAGCTTAAGAGAAAAAACTTTAAACATTTTATCAGTAACACTTGAAACAAAAAGTCACAAAATCATTTTCTTAAGTTTACTTAATCCTATGTAACCAATACCTGTTCTGCTGAAATCTAGTTCTTCACTAGTTTAGGAGTAATAAAACAGTGACTTTAAATGACAAAAGACTTACAAATGACAATGGTTAAAGATCTGATGAGAGCTTACTATAAGACAGCTGACATATGGAAATTCTGACATTTTTGTAACACAAAACATTCAGTAAGAAAGTTTAGCATCATTCCTCTTGACAGTGCTTCCCAGAAAATCAAGCAGGTAATTATATATTAGATAAATAAGCCAAATTAGCCAAATACTTTCTCCAATGAGAAAAAGTTCCTCTGACATGTTCCAGGGGCCTTCTGGAAAATATCAGTTAACTAGAAGTAAAAACACATTTTTAAAATTTGATTTTGGGAAACTGTCAGAAAGATTCTTTGGCACTTCCTTAAATAAGATTATAGGTTGCCATGAAGCAATACTTATTTACTTAACCAGAATGACAACAAAATACCTCAAAGCTGACAAAAGTTTAGTAAATGACTGTCTTTATAAGCAGAATTGAAACTTTATCTTTCACTCGACCTGATCCCTCCAGAATTTAAAAACTCTCAGTGACTATTTTTATATTTCATGGCAGTATGTTTATTTGCACAAGTTCAATAAGAATCTGCTTTCCTTGTAAGAGGACTAATTAAGAACACTGGTTATATTACCAAGGCTTCTACTGGAATGTCATGCCTGAGAGACACATGTGTAAACTCAGAGATGAACAGAGAGCTTTAAGGAACTAAGATTGACTATAAAGTCAACAAAGCCCCTTAGAAGAACTGGCCTGGTACCTTGCTTACAGGGTTCCCAGCAGCCTTACCTGGTGAGTAAGGAAGGTCACTTCCTGGCAAGTGCAGGAACCTCAGGAATGTCTTGGGAATCTCAAGAAGAGAGGAATTCACCCAAATCTAAAGGTACTGCAGGCACAATCTGATGGCAAGTATGGCTTAGCTTTCTGGCCTTAAGAAGCCGTTAAAAGTTCAATCTGAAATTCCTTACAAAAAGTTCCAGCAAAGCACATTTAAAAGATCCGATGTAATCAATTGCTCTTCTTGCTGCACTTATGCAAATAATCAAGCCAACTGTTAATTATTTTCTTAATCTGGATACTTCTAATAAAACTGAGGGTGCTTTTAGAGAAAAGTATTGTTTCAATAATGCAGTCTTATCTATACTAAATCCTAATACTAGTCATTGAGATTTAAACTCTATCCAGAATTCTAGTTTCCCCATGATACCTGGCTATGATTCTCAATTAGACTCTTCATATTTCTAGTTCTCATATCTAAATATGAGATGCCTTCTTAATCTCATCGTTTGTCCTTCCAGAATGAAAAATCCAACTCCAGATGTTGCTACTTAACCTAATAACAATTTGTTCTATCTTGCCTAGAAGCCACAAAACTGCAAATTGTAATAGAAATGAAACCCAGAATAGAAGCGCCCACCTTCCAAGGCCCTTTCAACTGACCAGTGATGGAGACCTAGATGCACCCTTTACTGTGCCTCCTCTCAGCATGAAGCAGCCAGAGCGGTCATCTCCCCCTTTCCCTAGAAGCAGCTACAGTATCTATCTATAGAGGGGAGAGTAAGACAAGGACCATAAGCTTAGAATAAGGTGAGAGCCTCTGGAAAAAGCAAGGCAGGATATTTGCAGTCAGAGCAATGTAACTACATGCTAGGAACCACCCCCTACTAAACTTATGTTGAACATTAAGCTCTAGAATCATTCTTCAGTGAGGTCAATTAATGTTCCCCAGATAAAGAAGAGTAGCACGTATTTTATTATGCTAATCATTTGTAATCGTGTATAAGATTCACTTTAGCATACTAAAAGGCCCAGGCCTA